AGCTGCGACCTAAGGATAGGTCGGAAGGCTGGATAAGTTCACCCTCTCTAGAAGAGTCACGTTACCTGACCATGGAGACCAGTTTTGTGTCACCATGGACATACTTACGTTACTTTTAGGACACTATTACCCTACCTTCCATCAGAAATGTTCTCAGAGGAAGTCCAGGAAATGTTAGGATTGTTGATAATGCAATAACGATAGATGAGCACTTGTTTGCATATTGATCGAAAGGCTACGGGAGGCGCTATAGTGCTCCGAATAAGCTGTAACTTCACTGAAATATTCCTAACAGATACCTGCAGCCCCAGGGTTCGCCCCGGGCATCATGGGCCAAAATGGTTGAAGTTGCCGTCATTCAAGTTAAATGAAGTCTATGAAGACATATCCATAACACTGTATATGTCGCTGCCCTCCATCTGACCGAAAGCTGTTCACAGGATATATAAGGGAGCCAAGATGAGAAGGTCAGGTACCTTCTCCAAAAGGAATGGAGTAAAACAGACCAAAACTGACAGAGTTAGTATGAGCTATCCGGAAGGGTCCCCAGAGTAGTCCTGGCTGGTAGTGTCAGAGACATCTGAGAATGTTTCACGCCAATCAAGCCTGCACATGCCCCTCTGTCCTAGGCTCTTTGTGGGGTGTTTAAGGATTCTAATAGTATGATACTTATCACGGTGAGTGGTGTGTCGGGGGTAAGGGACCGTGGGTAGCGCCCACCGGTCTCGCCGCTGGCGCAGCTCTTCACGAGAGTGTCGTAGACCTTCTAAGTTCACAATCAAGATAGATAGAACTTAACCGAAAGACAGCTGATGTCTGCGAGTGCATGCATGGATTATAGTATATGGGAAGAGAGTCATTTAGTTAGCTTTCCTAGGCGTCTTGACAGTTAGCCACTGGCAAGTCACCGATGTACAGAAGTTTTTACTCCAGCAGGTGTATTAGTAAACACCTCACAGGAACTGATGTGCATACAGGAGATTTCTACTAGAGTACGCTGACACCTAAGGCCCTTCGGGGATACAGTAATGGGGCCAGGCAACCCTTATGGAGAAGGGCATACTCATGTTGGTCGGGGTAACCTGATAGGAGAGTTTTTAGTAGAAGTCTAACTCCTTAAAGATTATACGAGAACTCTCCTACCCCAACACAATCAACATCCTCTCGAGAGACTTTAATTGAGATAAGCCAGAGCTTGACAATATTAAGTTTTACTGTTTACTTTTATTCTTTACACTTTACGAGAGCTGTGTTCGAGAGATTCGAAGTTTGATGCGGTTACATCTTTAGGAACCATCTACCTGAGGGAGCCCCCGCTACACCCTGACAGTGGCCTCCATGTCCCCTTGGACCAACATAAGGCACCTCCAACACTTCTTCTGCCTTGTCCAGGAGTACGCCTACAGACTGTGTATTGAACTTTCTATTACTAAAACAGAACTAGTCTACTAGTGCACACCAAGGAACCGTCGCCCAGTCACTTCTGCCCCAATCAACCTCAACAACCATGTGTTTCACCTCTCAACCAAGCTCAGGTGGCTCAGCTATTGGCTGATGCCGGCCTGGGAAACCACTACTCATTTCAACAGGTACCTTGCATTAGCACAGGCTGCCTTCGTCACCGTGCAGAGGCTCAGTGAGCCAGGCAAGGGCATGCCCCCCTAGTTCAACTGCAAACTAGTGGTAGGTCTGATTCTTCCTATCCTCATCTTCGGGGGGGATGTCCTGGCCCCCAATGTAGCCATGCTCATCAAAATCGACACAATTTGGCACCAAGTTTTGTGCTAGGTGACCAACTACTTCTTGTCTACCTCCATTACAGCCCTCCATATGGAGGTAGCTCTTTCTCTGATAAAAGATTACCTGGCCCTCAAGCGAAGGGGGGCCACCATGCTGTTGGTCTGCTCTCCACCTACAGTCAATCCTGCCTCAACCCGACTCGACAGCTTAGTCCCCCTATAGGACCCCTGGCGGGACTTTTCTAACTGCCCCCTCCTAAAGGGGGTACAAGGCAATGCCTTCCCTGTAAACTGGATGGTCGCTCCTAGAAGTGGCCGCAAGCATCTCCCCTTAGACGTCATGGCCCACTCAGTGCTGGAACTGCTCTCCTCACTGCTACCCCTTGCAGCTTCCCACCCCATTGTACCCCACCCGTATGATCCAATGGGGGCCCCTCTCTACCATGCACTGAAAGCAATGGTGAAAGCTGTCGCTTTGGTGGACCTTTCAGGATCAAATCAGGCCTCAAGTTCGAAAGCCTCCCCCTTCTCCTACTCACTGCATCCCTTCATGGCCCTCCCAAGGTTCATAGCAGGACATATCCACCAGATGAGATCTGGGAGCAGTTATCTCACCGCCTATACAGCCTGGCATGAGCAGGACTCCTCTATCCTCTGCCTATCGTATGAGGAGGAGGATGAGATATTCAAGCGTGCCATCCTTCACTGTCTCGTCAAGGCCATCCAACATGCCGCCTACCTTCAGGGCATCAGTGAGGTAGGCCCTGGTGCTTCTGTCTGGTTATCAGCTGCACTGATTATGGGTCTGGCTGACTACATCTCCTCTACCACAACTGGGTTCCTACCAGCCATGCCAGAAATCAGGGCAGACTTTACATCGCCCCTGGCCTCTCCTGGAGGCCCACACTAAACACCTCTTCCTTCTTTCGAGTTCAGGGTTTTTTTTACTTTTTGTTGATGAGTGTTATTACCTGATTGATGGGTTTGCTTTGCTTTATCCTGGGCAGCAGCTTGGGTTGGAAGTGGGCTAGCTTGTGTTTCCTACAGTTGTTGGTTTGCTAGATGTCCAGCATGAAAGGACATTTTTTTACCTGTTGTTTTATTAGTCATCCTGAGCGATGCAAGGGGCTATCTTGCTCTAATTTGAAGAACCTGCGGCTTGTTGTTGGTTTCTTTATTGTTGATGCATTTGGGATTAAGGTTTTTTGTATACCATACTGTGAGGTCCATGTGCAGTTTTGTACCATAAACAATAACTACATGAATTAAAAAAAAAATTGTAGTCATTAATACCGTAGCAACCTTAAAATTCAATTTCCTAGGGGTGCTCCTGTTACAATTTGCCCCTTATTCTTAGCCTCTGGTATCCTAACTAGAATCGAATGGAGAGTGTATTAACTATATAATTGGAATTTAGTTTCCTGAAAACATGGTCCATTTGCCCTGACCATTAGAGGTCCTTGGACTCCTGACCGCCTTCCATAGATTATCCGCTAGTGGTTGCATGCGTAAGGACTTGATGTATGTAGTTCCCAGTTATACTTGGGGTCCGAGTTTGGTGTTGTTTCTAATTTGTCCCTGGTGGATCATCCGAGACTGGCCGTTTGTACTGTAGAGCATGGCTGCAAGATGAGCCCACCCACGGTCGCGCTTGGTTACTTGATCATGGAGATTGGCTTCGTTCGCTGGGCCATGAGACCGTATATCAGCAGTGATTCTGACTTGTTTCTCTGTCGAGATTAGCATCCTCAAGTCAACTCCTTGGCTCAGGCCGCGAGCGGTGCGGCTGGGCCCTCATGAGACGGTCCACAGACTGTGGCAGCCGGGAAACTACCGCCGTTGATGTATCATCTCCCGTATTTTGGTGCTATTGCGGAGGTGGCGTTTAGGCATGGAGTTGGCTGCACCTTTTGCTAGCTTACTGTAAACACATCGTTCAGGGGCTGATGATAGGACGAGTGACACGCCATGAATTTTCCCCCCATCCTACTCTCTTCAACTGGATGCACAACTACAGCAGCTATACCCTCCTCCGATTCCATCACCAGATAGCCAATCCCCACCTCAGCCATGGGTATCCTCGAGTGTCTGTTAGCCCCTAATCAATGCACATCCCAGGGTTGTTTATACTTTGCTGTACCCCTACCTAATATCTGGTACTATCCGAGATTAGAAGAGCAAAATTCGGTGCGGTTCATATGTGCCTTTGTTCTACAGTTTCGGGAACACAATAGCGATGAAATGGCGAGGGTGGCTATGCACCTCCCCCTGAGGAAATCCATCATATCATGCGCCAAACTAACCTATATTCTACCTGCTCGGAGCAAACCCACGTCCTAAAAACTTAGTATACATTCCATTGAGCCTTCCCATGCCATTACCGGAGCTTGCTTGTAGCTCCATTTGGGCCGTTGAAACAAAAAAATTTAGGCCCCGTATGCCCGATAGGGGTTTCCCTTGAATCAATATTTAAGCAAAAAAACAAAAACGCCTCGACAATCTCAAGAATCTTGGAAATCCTGGCCCAAATAGATGAAAATATTGAAACCGGACTAGCCCAGCTCTCCAGGCTACACCCCTGAGGGAGCAGTGTCTTGGTCTTGGTCAATTTAAAATGTACCTTTAACCAACTAAATTAGGATCCCAAAAATGCCCAGCAACCTCCACACACTCTAGTTCTCTGCTCAATAGCCCCTCACAGGAGCGATATCCAAGAATTGCACCCTCCATGTTGGTATCGGATACACATCGGCCGAACCCCAGAACCCACTAAGCTATATAACCCCTCGTGCGCCCTACATGCGGTGCTTGGAAACAGGAAGGCTAGTACTCCAACCTAAACAGTTAGTCAACCTATTGCGCAACTCGTCTCTAAACTCGAGTACGGTAGTGTGTTCAAGCTTTCAAGCAAAACTTCGTTGGTGTAACCTTAAATGCTAACTCAGCCAGTGGTTTCCCCGCGACGTTTCTACAAACATTCCTGGGGGAGCATGGGTAGGCGGAGAACTCTGCTTAGACCTAATTACCAGCGCTTACCTTTCTCATTCGGACGAGGCCACTCGGCGGTCAGCCGCCTCCTTGATCCAGGCTGTGGCGAATATTCTCGAGTGATAATCTATGTAACTACACCCAGCCAACAAGCTATGCCACAATATTACTTGTATCATGCAATACATATCCATAGCCATGAGAACTACACTCTACCTGATATATGCCCAACACAGATGTTCATAACAGAATCGCCAATTACCCCTTCGGGCATCAATTCGCGGCCCCTTGCTCACCATTTACGCCAAATTTAGTGAACTCCTGACCCTCTCGTGAATCCTGTGCAGAGCATTTGACCACTGCGCCCACGTCATCACCCCCTGCTCCTTCCTCCCACTGATACATATCACCCGCCAATCCCGCCTCCTCGTTCTCCTCCGACTCACCGTCGCCCTCCTCATCGCTACCGGGAATAACCCCCGCCTCAAGCCCCCTTTTCCGTTTCTTCCTCCTAGTGTATGCCCCCATTACCGGCGCCGCAGGTGAAGCTTCGGAGATAAGCCTAACATCATCCACGCCAGTTTCTTGAATTTGCAAAAGCTTCACCGGCCAGGACGAGTCGGAGCTGTGCAACACCCCATTGGATTTCAGAATCGTTACGTAACGGATCTGAGAGACTAGGCTATCATCAGGGTTCGCGAGGAGTGACGGGGAAGTCTTATTGTAGTGGATTAGTAAACGGGAGTTCAGTGATGTTATCCATGTGGGTGAGCCTGTTGTTGGCGTTGTTATAAGTATAGTAGGAGCATATTGAATTGTTGGGGGGGGGTAATAGGAGGGATGTACTAACTGACAGAGGGTGTGAGCATCGCCCCGACTCCAGGTATAACCCTTGTTGTCATTTGGTTTAATAGTAGTACCTACGTGAAGTAAAACGTTAGCATCATCAAACCCCCCCGTTAACAGCCCAATCCGCAGGGGCGGACAAAATACATACAGCAACACCCTTCGACCCAGCAAGCTTCCCCAATGCAGAAATCAAATCCCCCATGATAGCAAATCGCCTCACACCTACGGGCTCCTTCTTCCCCCTCCCACCGCCCCCAGCCCCTTCATCTTCCATCCCCGGGGGGAAGGCGGCGGTGAAGGGCGTCGACACGTTGTCAATCACTACCAAAGTCGTATTCTCGGGTGGGAAGGTGGGCAAGGGATGCACCACCAACGCGAGCAAATGCGCAAGCGTAGGCGCCCGAATGGTCTGCAGGTTTGGGAAGAGCTCACGAGGATCGCCCGAGCGGGAGAGCATAGCACCCAAGCGGGATACGGGAAGAGGGTGGGAGGTGTCTATCCAGACGACACGGTTCCCGTCTCCGGAGAGGAGGGCATTCGCGGCGGATTGTAATCTGGGGACATAGCGTACACGATGACATTCAGTTGAGGTCAATCAGGAAGAGCAGTGATGGGGTGGTGGGTGGTGCAGAGTGGGGGGTTGGAGATGTACCCAACAGTAGTCTTTCCGCTACCAGGGGGTCCGCATAGCTCGGTGATCTTTCCACGCGAGAGACCTCCACCGATCGCCATATCAAGCTCTCCCGAACCCGTGCTTATTCTCGAGTCAGTGGATTGAGAAGCTGACAGAGCTTGAGAGGCAGAAAGAGTCGGTAAGCGGTCTATGACATGATCAACATATATTTTTAGTTCCCCAACTGGAGACGATCCAGACCAATACATACGGGAAGAAGAAAGCATCGGCGAGGCGGGCGCCATATTGCCAAGAGGTGGCGAGGATGTCGGAGAAGACGTTCAGAATAGACAAGACCAACGCAAGAAGTACGGGGAGCGAAAAGCTACAAGTGCAAAAAATGGTTTTGAAGAGTGTCATATAAATTGTAGAACCCTCCACCCAGACGTGCCAGTTCAATAGAAGCCGTGTAAAGCCTTCCTATCGTATACCAATAGTACTGGGATAACACATTGCAAGCATAGCAGCATTGTACTAGTACAGTACTAGTACAGTGCGGTACCGTAGGCAGGTCAGGTTCAGACCCGCGGCCACAAGAGGCTCAACAAGAACCCGGTCCGCTATTCCAACATACCCGACGGCAGCCGCAGGAACCGGCAGCCAATCCCAGCACCCGCAATTGGCCCCGAAAGGAAGAACACATTGGCATACCCGTCCAGGGTTGGCGGTCCCCGCCTCACGGAGAGTGTATTACTGTATTCTCTCCAGGGAGCAGCCCCCCGGGACCACCAACTCCGTACAGGTGGGATTGAGAGGAAATATCATAAATGGGAAACTTTTCTTTTTTTCACCCCCCCCCTTGTCTGACCCGGCCCCCCACCGCTGGACTCCCAAATCCCGGATCTAACCCGGAACCCCCCCGCCACTAGCTCTTCCTTCGAATCAAACCGCTGGCTCTCCGAATCGTGCTCACCCCCCCCCCCCCCGTTTATCTACCCTACTGCCCGCCCTCGTCTACCGGTACCGGCATGATATGTCATGCCATCCCCTGCCGTACGAGAGTACTCGTACAGTAATGTGCCCATGGCACCCGTGACCAAGGGAGGAACGGAACCCCCTCCTTCCCCCACACGCACAGACTTTTTTTCCTCCATTCCTCCATCTGTCACCAACAGATAGGCAAACAAACCGAGCGGCGTTACTGCGGTTCAGTTCTCGAACAACAACAACACGGTACTTTACTTTTACGGAAAATATAAAGTGCCCATGTGAGCGGACTCGCTAACTAAAGGAGTGGAGTGTGCATGACAAGCTGACTCTGTTAGAATACCACAACCAATGTCTGTAGCCCATGTCGTCGTTGAATCACCCCCGCTGCCAACCTTAAGGGATGTTCCAACACCAATCCTGTCTCTGTTGGCTCTGGGGGTCCTCGCCTTCTTCAGTTGGCTGGTGTACTCTGGGCTCCCGTTCACCCCGAAGCAACATGGGAGAAAGTTGGGCGTTGAAACAAGTAATCTTGCTGATGCATACCGACACGGGACCGAAGCATCGCATGCAGGTCAGTGGAAAGTGAAGGGTTTGTGGATTTTTCCGGTCAAGAGTTGCCGCGGAATTGAGATTGCGGAAGCCCGAGTCGTGCCCTCTGGGTGAGTGAGTTGAAATCCCTCATAGACGTGGGGCGGCTTGAGATAGGTGATAATTTATGACGATGCTAACTACATCTGCTGACAACAGACTTGAGCATGATCGTCAATTTGTATTTTTGACCCCTCTCTTCTACTACAGTGTTAAAAATAAAAATAAAAATTTTGAGCGCATCATTAACCAACCAGCCCAGATGTTCGCAGAATGGATGCCAAATGCCAAGACCGGTGATCTTCAATGGGTCTTCATAACGCAGAGGCAGTATCCAAAAATGGCACTCATCACGACTAAAATATACCTTGAAGGAGAACACGACGGTAACCTACACATCACCTTCCCGATAAAGTCCCGTCTACCGTTCCTCAAGCGAGCCAGAACAATTCGCTTCCCACTTTCAGTTTCAGATGAGTTTAAGGCAAGATACCCGCTCAAGAAAGTTGGAATCTGGAGAGAGCAGCCAGTAGCATACGACATTTCCTCCGCCGTCGAAACGGAGCTCAGGGAGCTATCCGCTTACCTATGCACCGATGGCCCACTAGCGCTATTCAGGGTTTGCCCAGAAGAGTTACGCGAGGTGTACAGGAACGCGCCCACAGCCAACGAAGCCGGATATCAGCCAGTCACGGGTTTTGCAGACGCTGTACATATTACTCCTTACCTCTTGATTCCCCCCCCCTCTTTCATAACCAGAACAGCGACTGATCATTGGTGGCGGGAACAGTACCCTTTGCACATGCTGAACCTCACCTCCGTCCGTGAACTTAACTCTCGCATCACGGACAAAATCCCTAAACTTGACATCGTGCGTTTCCGTGCGAACATAATTCGTATGACCCCCTCATCACCTTGCGTCACCGCACCAACCCGCTATACTCCCACCTCCGACTTGAGCACCCAACTAACCAGCCACCCTCTTCAAAGTCACCGGGCCAGGCCCCTTCACTGAAGACGACTGGAAGAAAATCCGGCTAGGTGCACACGTCTACTATGCCGGTACGTTACTGCTCGAACCTTGGCCCTGGAACAGCAACAATCACTAACGAACAAATAGCCTGCAGAACCTTGCGATGCAAAATGCCAAACGTAGACCCCGATACTGGCGGTGTGTTTCCCTACTTCCTTCCCGACGCCCCTTGGCACGTTTCATATATGAAGTAATAGAAGCTAATGATCTATTTAGAAAGGCATATGCAGGAGCCTGACCAGACGTTGCGCAGCTATCGCGCTATTGATCCGGGGTATAGGCACGGGGCATGTTTGGGTATGTATTCTTCTCAGCCTTCTTTACTTATTTGCTTTTTTTCCTGCCATTGTTTCGGTGCGGCCCAATTTGCGATTTGCTAACTCTCCGGCTGAAGGTATGCAATTGGTTCCTGCAGGATCTAGTACGTTTCTTCCCTGCCCTTGAGTGGAGAAATGAGACTGGGCATATAGCATCCTAACACGCAATACACAGTGGGCATCCTCCGTGCCGGTGATGGCGTAGATGTTCTTGAAACGGGACCGCATCATTATATTTATTAATCGGTAAAGTCGCAAGGGGGAGGACTTCTCGATAGATGGCCGACGTCGCATTTACACCACTGCAACTATTGGTGGATGGGGATAGTGCCTAAAATGACGGTGTACGGTCCAGTTTGGGTTGCTCAAGTTACATATGTTTCCTCTCTTTCCCCTCCCATTTCTCTGGCACCATACCAATCAACCCTTCACCGGGATGGGGGCTTAAGGCGCAATGGATTAGACGGCGATTTTGCAGCATAAGGCAGTTCAGCAAAGCCTAGACGGGGTAATATCCCATTTGTTAAAAAAAGTACGGATCTTGATATCGCCATCCTGACTTAGTTGTCAAGCCGGCGTCTGGAATTTCTTCTTTTTTCTCTTCTTTTCTTCCCCCTTTTTCCCAAACAATCGCGCTGTCACCATACCGACATTGAACTGTAGGGGTACTCGAGTATGGTACTGTAGCGGTAAGGTACCGGCAGTCCACAGTTCCAGTATTTGTATATCAACTGAGCTATACCCAACAAAGAATATCCCGCTACGGTGTTGGTAATAGTAGAGAACACGCATCACTGACATCTGAAACACATCTGAATGTGCAAGCCTGCCAGCGGCACCTCATCTTACAAGCTACTACCGGTTCCCCTCCCTACGGCCGCAGCTAGCTGGCGGAGTGATGACAAAAAGGTAAAGTCTCTCTGAGTTCGTCCTCATACCGCCCCTATCAGTACTGTACTCGTACCAGGTACGGTAGATCTCGCCCCCCCCCCCCCCTAAACACGGAGGAAACAAAACCCAAATCCAGACCACACATAACATCACATCACAATCGTGGATCAAGATTCCCCACCACACCCCACCACACCCCCCACCATACCACCGATCCCACCAACCCAACCCAACCGTCCATGAATTGCACTCTCTCTTTTTATTTTCTTTATTTTCCCCAACGTACCCTACAAGAGCTCGTGCAGTGCCAACCCAAAACCCTGTCTCATGCCCACCCCCATCGATCCAGGGGGAAGGCGAACGAACGAACCACACACACGTGCACACGAACCAACCAACCCGGTGTGTGCCCTGAAGTGTTCATTATACTGTACTTCTTTCTACCGCAACTTAAGCTACCAATGTCCGTTGCCGGGACTGACATCTGGCACCATGGAATAAGCTTAAAATATAAAAAGTCAGGTCCGGCCACTTCAATACTTCCGGTTACGGCAGTTTTGCGGGGGTGTATCTTGGTAGAGTCGCGAATCCACAAGCACAACATCTGGTTGGCCGGAGGGCCCAGCTTCACAATACTCGTACTCCTGTCGGTGATACAGGAAGGCAAGGAAAGGAAAGCTCAGCACTCGAGCACCAGTACTCGTGCAGTACAGTCCCCTCCAAGTGCGCAAAAATAAGCAGGCCGGGTAAAATACTTCCCCCGGAGCGCCGAGCCGTGCCGCACCGGGCTGTATCATGTCACCGCGCCAAACGACACTATAAGGAAGGAGGGCAGTGTGACGCAAAGATGCATGGGGAATTGTACGATACTCGAGTACCAGTACAAGTGCAAGTACTGGTACGGTAACTTAGGCACGGGGACTATCGCATCCAGCCTTGTTCCCGGCCGTGCAGGATGGGTCCCGAGAGTGAGTGAGTGAGTGAGTGAGTGACGTATGATAAGGCAAGTTAAAGAGGGGCAAAACGTTTTGTCTGCGGTATCACCGGCATCATACGAGGTACTATTATCAGAGTACGGCGGGTAGACAGACCTCTACCAGTGACGGTACTAGTATCCCCGGGTAACAAAGGCAGAAGATTGTATGCATGGCTCCCGCTTATGTCCACAGCCTCATCCAGGTCGAGTTGACCTCGGCCGACGCATTGAAAGGCGATGTAACGCAACGCAACCTGGACCTGTGCCTTGCCTCCACAGTGCCCCCGTCCGGGAGAGAGAATCTGAAGTGCGGTATGCAGCCCCTGTGTCTGTCTATCTGTCCCTCTATCTACCCCTTACCAGTAAAGTTTCGACACGGAATTCAGTACCGTACGAGTACACTATACTACGTACTCGAGTACAGTATAATACTAAAATCACGATATTGTCAGTAAGCGCGGTAGAAGTGAGAGCAGGAAAAAAATGATGAAAAAGGAAAAGCTTGCCATAGCCTTTCCTAATCCTTTTCCCCTGTGATTAATCAAGATATATATATATATATACAAATTCACCCCGCAGCCGTACAGTACCGGTTCAGCACCCGTACAAGTAACTCATACCGTAACAACCCCCAACAACCAACAACCAACCCCCCCGTCACTGGCATTGGCCATGATGACTGCGGGGTGACCTTTTTACGTTAGGTTTTCACAAAATTACGAGTACTATACAAACGACCCATAGAACCACTGAAAACAATAACGACATCACTTGCTATATAACAAATTTCCAACCAATTCCCAACTCCACAACAATAGCACGCAGCTGAACCTTCAAATTCCACCACAGCTCAGATCTTCCCAACAAAACAAGCAATCTTGACACGCCGATTTGAGACAAGTTTTATTCCCTATCCACTACTCTTTCTATGAATTTAATCCGATCCAGGCTACAATTGAAGTCAAGCAGTCTATATCTTTTCCAAACACTCCACAGAGCCATCCCATTGTCACAATAATACAGGGACGGTACCGGTGCTGGAATCAGCATGTGCGGCCGGCTGTCTTTGGAGTAAACTACTCGAGTACGGTATGTTGTGCCCACCCACGTTTTAGGTCCCACTTGTGGAGGTGTGTCGTACGGTAAATCAATAACTTGGCTAATATGTGCAATTGAGATTTACCTAATGAATAGCGCGAGGAAATGATGACAGCCCCATTCGCTCTCCCTTCCCCCCCGCGCCCGATCGCTCGCTCAAATTCCGCTCCGCGTTCTCCCGGTAATCTGGGCAGGCTATGTGTGACACGTGCCGTAGGAAGGCGAGACGCATCCCGCTCGCTTTCCCAGGGCCGGCCGGTCGGTTCGTGAGTGGAACAATGAAAAGCGCTGCGATGGATAATTTACTTGCGCTGCGACTTTCTTCCATTCCTTCTGTACGAGTACTGCTACCATTTCCTTCATGATGACTTGCTGGGCTGGAAGAAGCGAATCTGAGAGTTTGGCACTGTACTGCACCCTTCCGCAATGTACTGGTACAGTACTCGAGTATGGTACAGGTACTCGAGTATGTTGGCTTTTTCGCTCATTCTCCTCGCGGCAAGAGCAAGTGCATGTAAGATGAAACGGAGGGGAAGGAAAGAATGGAGGAGGTAAAGGAAAAGGTTATAAAAACACAAATAAAAAAGGTACGATACTTGTACGAGTACTTACAAAATCTGCCGTACCCAATAAGCCCCGGTATCGGTAGAGCAGGAGGGCAAAGCCAGGCAGTTACCTGTATTTTAACTTCTCCAAACATCCCACGGGAAACGAGGGCCAAAACAAGGCGGTGCATCTGAGGTGAAAGATTGGTGGTTGCCCAGAACGGGAGATTGACAATCCTTGCGTATGCTGTGTATGGCGAGTGAGCATTATGATGACGACGGTGAGGGTGGTCACTCCCACTGCCTCTCCCTGCTCGCCTCTCTCTCTCGCGGGATACTAGCGTGGTGCGGTGAGTCGGAGTAAGTATCTTATATCGTACCTGTATCACTACCGTAAATGGTGAACTAACCCACCTTCTTTCCTATCCTCTCTACTCGAGTACCCTTAAGTTACTTGTAATTTACAACAGGAAGTTAAGCGCCACAGAAGGAAGGGAATTGGCAGACGCGGATCCTGGAATAATATAACTTATTGAACGAGGGGGGATCGCGAAATACCCAATAACAAAGGTCACATTCAGCCCTTCACAGAGTCGGCACCGCTTCGACAAGTATAAAAATAAAAAAAGTAAAAACAAAAGTGGTGGGGGGGTTTGTTGAAGTGTTTGGTAAAACCCTTTCGTTTCTTTACACCGCTGTGACCGCGAGGTTTGCGCTGAGATCAAATTGGAAACATTGGTAGAGGTAGCATGGTCCGTGCATCTCCATAGCGGGGAAAAGTGGGGTCCCCACTTGTTTTCGTCTTGTTGGCCCCTTTGCCTTCTTCCACCTGTTCCACTTAAAATATGTTCGGCCTCTCTCAACACTGCATATGACAACCTCTCTCCCAGTTTGGTTTTCTTTTTATCACCCCTCCGCGCACTTCTCACACTTCCTCCTCCCCAAAATCTGTCTGCCTCCAAGTCGCAATTATCCCACCCCATTTATCGAAGCCTCACTACGTCACTATCGGCACGAGGGGGAGCTTACTCTGACTGTACGGTTTCTGCTGGAAAGGAAATGAAGTGGGGAAAGCTGCGCGCCTCTCCGGTTCACGAGGTCGGCCCCCGACACTTCCTCGTTCTCCTTCACCCTCTTCCTTTCTTCTCCCCTTCCAAGCCGATGAGATAGCCTTGTCAGTTTACCGGTATCGGTATGATACCGTACTTGAGTACCGGTACTTTAGCTTAAATCCACTTCCCATATGCCCCTTGGCGTTAGGTAATCCCCAGGGCTATTTTTGCCTCCTACCGGTACCCCCCCGCCACCAAATGCGTAGAACTGCCGTGATCCCATTTCACTTCTTGGTTTTGGAGTCGTTACGACTCATTCCGGGCGCCCGCCTGTGCGAGAATGGCGTGGCCTATGGCTGTTGCCCCTGGGAGAGAACAGGAGGTGCAGAACGATAAAGTAGAGCATCGTGCCAACCATAAGCAGTACAGTTTGTGGAACAAGAATAAGTTGCCCTGTTCGATTGATGGGTACATGCACCGTCACCCGAGAGGTAAGTGGAAGGGGGAGGAACCCTATCTCCAACTCGCGTAAGGACAGCATCGTCGGCCGATAGATTGATTGATTAACCCACTCGAGTACGGTGACTTGAGAAGGATTTACTCCCCAAACCAGCCTACAGTAATCTAGGGCAGGGATAACCGGCAAGTGGCCCTGGATTGGCCCTCTGCCCTTCCACCTCCTTCTACCTTGGCAACGAGAAGCTTATCCCAAGGCTTCGATGTGAGGAGCGGGGTATGAAACTCAAGACGACTATCGTATCCTGTGATAATACTGGATCGCGAAGCCTCCTGAAGTGGGCAAGGAGGAAAAAAAGAAGCATCCTCGCACCTAGATCAAACCAACCCTCTCATAAGAGGCTTTCGAAGCATAATAGCAGGCGATAGTGATGACTTGGCAGATGGTTGCAATCCCCTTCATCGTGTTTCATCCCCTCCCCCCATCTCTCAATCTTCAACATCCACGCCCGCGAGATAAGGAGGACTCCACGCCTCTTTTTTTCTTCTTCCTCTTCCTTTCCTTCTTTTATTCCTTTACTTGTATCCTTCTGGTGCCTTCCTTTTGGCTATATTCCCAGTGCAAAGTACCGGTACATCGGGCCATGACTCGTCCGAGTCCCTTTGTCGGCCCATACCACATCCCTTTGCGATTTGACGGGAGAAAAAAAAATTGAAAAATGGAAAACGAAAAAGGGTTGTTATGACGCAGAAGGTGTAAAGCAATGAGCACTGGCCCAGGCATTTTGAAAAGGTTGCCAATCCTACGGGTAGATAAGGTGCGCCTTCGGATTAGATTACTGAATGATAGCAAGACTTAAGTTATGAGCTATGCTCACAATCGTCATATCATCATAGCGGCACCACACCTAACACCTAACTATTACCCCGACTTGGGGAACGTGGGATGGCTCCAATACCGATATCAGAACATGATTTTTTTTGATTTTTTTTTTTTTCAACATGTCGTTTTTCCCTTTTGCTAAATTTCAGATACGTCAACACGCCGGCAGCACCCCAAACGTGTTGTTCAATCTGACGTCAAGTCAGAGAAGTGAGAGGGAGGCAATGCAAGCCATTTCAATGCTTGCACTGCCCAGAATTTCATTGCCTTCCTTTTCTCTCTTTTCCTTTTTTTTTTTCCAAAATTTTCCCACTCTTCCTTCCCATTGCAGCACCCATACGGTACCCGTGCAGACTACCCCTCAGTAGAGTAACGAAACCTCCTCCAATCCTCATTGCGTCACATGCCCTGCTCGATATCTGAAACCTTTTTGACAACTGGCGAAGTTTGGTTTCCGAAAACGAGCAGGGTGAGGGCAAACCCATGGCCTTTTGGTTTCGCTATAATTTTGGTTGGTCATACCTCATGTCGGTGTGCGATGTGGGGTATCGTCGATTAACCAATCCCACATTTCTCTGGGGCGCTCCCGTTACCGGTAAGGGCGCCGGCACATGGTCTCGCAGACGTAAATTCGGGCCACTGCCGGCGCTGGAATACCCTCATGGGTTCAGATGGCTAGGCTACTACTAATCTTGGTGACACTCTCTTACCTTCATCGTGCCGCTTTGGGAAAGTGAAGCCTTGCGCCCTGTCCACGATGGGCAGCGGTGGGGAAGGTTCTCTTCATTCAGGGTCCAGAGGCGAAACCAATACCGGTACTACTATTTCACAAGGAGCAACTTGCGGGTGATCGCAAGTTAGCCCCTAGGGATGGCAGGAAAGTGAGGGGAAGGGCGAGGTGGTTGGATGCAGACCCGACATCCGTCACTCGAGTATAGACCAAAGAAAAGCAATGCAGCAGCCTGCACCCTGAGGCACCAAAGAATGTGGTAGCGAGACGAATGTTCCCACAGATCAGATTTCTGGACCCGATCTGCTTGCTCCGTACACCAGAGCTCCTGTTAAATTTCAAATCCTTTGGCTGCGGCAGTGTTTGATGTTTGGGCCTACTCGCTATCTTTTAACGCTGCTAACATCGTCAAAATTTAACGCGCCACAGAGCCCTCGTAAACCAATGTTGGGATGGGTAGTGATCCCATTTAAAATGAAGATGAGATGTGCAGCAGATAAGACTTCTGATAAGGTCGAGTCTTCTTGGGCCGGAAAATTCTCTGACTAATTGCTCGTGCATCCCCAGATGGAATTGAACCCATGTCCGCAGCGGATAATCATGATACTGCGGCAAGCGTCCCCAAAATCAAAACGAGAGGTTGTGAAGTGGGACAGCCGCCACACCATACCCGGTCGGCCATCTACACTCGTACCGGCACCGGTACTCGAGTACTCCAGTTGCAGGAGGAAAAAAAAATGTAAAAAAAGGTTGAAAAAAAAAAACATTCCAGTTAAATGTGCTTCGCTTCATGGGTACCGGAATACGGTACGGTAGAAGGACAGCAAGAGTAAATATTTTTCATTCCCCGGTTCATAGAGGCAGGGTCTTACCGGCGGATGCCTACAGAAACTGGCCCCACGGAAGGGGGTGTTCCGTGCCCATGGAGCAAGGAAGCTAACTCTCATGTACTCGTAAAGGCTCAATCAGAAGCAGTTTCACTATCGCGCATGAGTTCACGCCAAAGGTTCGCCTATGGTACGGACTTATCGGGACGAAGCCAGAGGGGGGGGGGGAAGAAATGACATTCTTTCCGCAAACCACCCGTATGCACGAACTAACTGGCCATCGGCATATGTGAAGCCACAAGAAGTTAGTCTCTCCCGGCAGATCAGCAACAATCGATGTCTGTGGAAGGAGCGGGTTTTAATTCAAAAATCTGAAGTTTGGGAGTGAACATACAGTAAGGTAGGAGGAACAGTACGGCACACTCGCTAGAAGATCGCACTGTACCGTACGAAGCACTTGGTTAAAACCGAGGAGCTGTGATGCAAAACGACACCCCCCCTCCCTGAGAAACGCCGCAGCAAACAAATACTCGAGTATTACAGTAGTCTATAAATATTATAAGAATTGCTTTGGCGTAAGATCGGGAGGGTCTACTGGTACTCGAGTGCCGGCACCGGTATCGCAGTAACTTCCCCAGGATGATCGACCTCCCCCCACAAACAAAAAAAAAAAAAAAAAAAGGGGGAAGCAACAGGCTTCGAATCTAGGTTCTCATAAACCCCAACTGTAAACATTTTATGATATACCGGCAGTAACGCCATAAGCGGAGCGTTGCAGCAGCAATCCAAACCGGGTCAAAGCAGTTTCTAGAGCAATTTGAAACCTGCCTCGTTAAAATTTATCGCACAGGAGGTGGCATTACAGGTCGATGCCCCAGGCGACACCTCGCAGCACCAGCAATGCGGAACTGGAGGGCCGGCAAGGGAAGGAAGGAACTGTGCGTCCTACCAGGACTTTACCTTCGCCTTTCCCCAGGGTTCGGGGAGGGGCGGGGTGCGGAAGGGGAAATACCTTGGGTATGGAGTCACTAGTCCTAAAAATAGTAGATTAATAGGGGAAGTCGTTGCGGTTGGGTACAGAAATGGGACGAGGACGGAGGGGCTAGGATACTGAATCTGGAACCAACAAGGTGTTTTGAGTTGATCCGAGGGGTGAGCAGAGACTACCCGCCTCCCACACACTTGGTCAGAGCTGCGCCAGACGGGGGGAGGTGTGGGTAATGTCGGTCTGTCGGTCAGCTCAAGATCTTGGTGTTCTGATGGCTTCTAACTTTAGCCCCTGTCAAAGACTGGTTTGTAGTTGGGGGATAAAGTAATGAATGAATGAATGAATGGGCAAGGTGCGAAAGGGGGAGAGGAGGGGAAAGGGTTGAGTACCGGTAAGGTACGGTACCGGGAGGGGATAATGGTGGGGGGGGAGAGATAAAACAATTACGGTTAGGGAATGATTTTGACATAAGAGAAGGGAAAAAAAGAGTCTGGGGTAATTTACAGAAAGAAAGGGTGTGAGAGAATGGAGCGGAAAGAGAGCAAGCGCCAGCGAAGTCTCTCAACCTACCCTTGTGGGAAGCTGTAAGCAGAATTCATTCATTCATCCGCATCGACCCTTGATATTCTTCATCGGCTTGCAAAGTGAACAATAATCCGGTTATTTGGCACAACTGCCCGGCTATTGTACGACTCCCAGCTCTACTCCGTTTTTTTTAGATTATCTTCTCGTGGAAGGGGAAAGATCGGATCCGGCAGAGAACCTCACCTGGTTGATGAGTTTTCTTCGCCACATGCCTTTTCCTGGTTGTCTGAGAGGGAGAAGGGATAAAGGGAGTTGTTTACCCTTGCCCCCGCCCCCGAGCCTGTTAAACGGGATGGGCTGGAGTGGGGCAGTTCCACGATCGTGGTGGTTTGTGGTGCCTGTTCCTGCTCGGGGAGTGGGGGAGACAGAAGGAATAAGGAAATGAGGGCTTACCGACGGAGACAACGTATTATAGCATGTATCCTACAAGTACCCGCACCCGCACGAAGTGCACGACACAAGATGCATCATAACCTGGCCCTTTAAGGGTTGTATCACAGAGATAAGAAAACTCGTAGACTTTCCCGTACCTTCCCTAAGCATGGTCTGCCTTTCGTCTGCCCAGCCAACCTTCCGTAGATGCCACCATATCTGCCTATCTACCATACTACACATCCGCTACCGGTCAAGCCTTTCCCGCCCACCTTTTCTATCAAGATACGGTTGTAGCGTGCGTTGAAGTATATAGCTGTGGGGTTCCATCGCTGGCTCTCATTCACTATCAATCCCGCAACCGCTACGACTGCTGCTCGTTTATCACCCCGCCCCCTACCCTCCCAACCATGGCCGCTGCGCCCCTATCGCACAACACATACTGGCACTATACAATCTTCATTCTCCCCCGTAACTAAGTTACGGCGGTACGGCACTATCGCTAGCAGCCATGACCGCCTGCTCTTCCTTGAGCTCTGTTACTACTCTCTCCCCACCCCCAATCTCCCGCCCACCCCATGGTATTACTCACTCTCTGTTACATTTACCATACCTGTACAGTACTGCGCACCCAGCAAGCCAGTTGTCAAGCACACTGTAGTAATCGTGACAACACTATTTTTCTATTATGGCTAGCCCCGGAACCAATGCTCCTGCCTGTATTATGGAAATATAATAATAATAATAGTGTATTACCCACTTTTGAAGAACCCCCACAGTACGGTACTCGAGCCACCCAACTATTGGGATAATATGTCATACACTGACTGAGTGGATTATTCGGTAGCTCAGGAAAAGGAAAAGGAAGAAAATCCACGGTAGAGCTCACAGGCTCTCCATGAATGCAAGGGCCATCTGTTCTGCTGGTAACCCCCCCCCCCCGAATACGCCGCCTTCGCGTACAAGAGCGGGTATGTATGTGGGGTTCCCGACAAAGAGCACTAATGGATAGATCGGGTAAACCATATTTTCCATCTCAAGATAAATGATACAAGCATTTACAGAAGCACATAGGGGAAATCATTCGATACACTACCACCGCAAGGTAACCCGAGTTCTCGAGGCATCAATAAATTAAAACAACAAGCTAACAAGGCAAAAATGACAACTGCGAGACTCTATACATGAGACAACAACCGTCATAAAATACATGAGAAATTCCGTCCCTTTCCGGTGTGAATAAACAATACTTGGAGGGTGAGGATGCTGTATACTAGTAAACAAAGTAAACAATGACCTCTTGGGTCCTCTATGAGCAACTCCTAGGGAAGAATAGCAAATGAAACAGGCGACATAATAAGAAATGAGTAGAGGAATGTAAATCGGAGATGAGAAAAGGTGAGCTCCCGACAAAAACGCCCATAAAGTCCATCATAGTTTATCCCAAATATAACCCCAGTTCTAATAGGAAAATAAAAATATAAGGAAGTACAAAGGGAAAACGGCCCCGGTGACAAGGAATATTCGCTAAACGCATCAGAACCTCCCCCCCCCCAACACATACAAGAAAAGCAGAAGAAAAGGTAAAGTGTAGAGTATTATTATGCACCACCCAAAACAAATCCTCACATACGATCTACCAGGTCCCCACCGGCGACGGAGTTGGCTGTAGAGGATGAAGCTGACGAGTAACCGAGACCACTGACACCGCTGTTCAAAAGATCATGAACAGCAACCCGAGGGGCCGCAGGGACCGGCAGTTTTCGCTGCGAACCATCGGAACGGTTGAGGATATCACCAAGTCGGATTCCAGGGCTGGGATGCAAAGGTTGGGACGTGCTGCTGCCAGCGTTATATGGGTCGGCAATCTCCATGGGTGCAAGAGTGGGCATGGGTCTAAGCGAAAGGTGTCGAATACTCGGGAGCTGCATATGATGGTCATCACGATCGCGAGGGTATAGACGCGGTGAGTGTGCCGGTGTTGCCAATGGCGTGTGTTCTGGGGTTGGCGAACAAGAGTCATGGGATAGGGTGGGAGAGGAGGGTGCTGTAGAGACCGGAGAACTCGGTCGAGATTTCTTTACTGAGCGGTGGTGATTATACGGATCATCACCCTCATGGGAGTGAGACCGGGACAGCGGCTGTGAGCCATGAGGGAAGGGTGGAAGGGAGGGTCGACCATGCTGGTGGTGTTGGTGATGGTAGTGGTGCCTCTCCCGCTCCAGCTGTTGAGAGGCTGTTTGCGCCAGGAACCCCAGATCCAGCCCATAGTTATATTTGCCACCCACAAGTGCAGGGCTACTCGATGTTCGAAAGGGTGTCAATCCGGAATGGATGGATGGTTGATGCATTCCATGGTACGAATGCGGCGGAGACACGTTCGGCGAGCCAACATGAGAAGGAGGAGCAGACTTGGAGATAATTTTTGGTGGCGGAGGCATCATCTTTCCCGGCGAGCTTACTGAGGAGTGATCATGCTGGGCGGCCTGAGCAGCGGCAGCAAGTGCAGCCTGTTGCTGATTCTTGTTACTTCTTCGCGAGTTCGGGTTCGAGTGGATTCTGGAATGTCGAGTAAGTTCATCAGAGCGACTGAACCGTTTCGAGCAGCCAGGAAACGTGCATCCGTGGGGCTTCTCTCCGGTGTGGGTCCGAATGTGCCGAGTCTGATGTTCCAGACGGTGAAAAGCCTTTTCACACATGGGGCATTTGTAAGGACGAGGAAGCTCAGGCCTCTGGTCCTGCATCGGATCCTGTGGTGGCATGAGAGGAGGAAGGAGAGAGGAAAGGCCGTGGTGACTTCGATCGTGATCGTGGAAAGACATAGGCCTATGTGAAGGAGGTTGGTGGAGAAGGGACGCGATATTAGATGTTGGAGAACCTCGCTGCATGTGATTTACGTTCGACAGGAGTGATGAAGAGATGACGAAGAGAGGAAGGAAAAAAGTGTGGAGAAGTTAGCAGGCCCGCGGGGTTATATAGAGTATAACCGGATGCTGATCTCAGGAGAGCGTGGGGTGGAAAGGGAGAGGAAGAGTGTGGAGGGGAAGGGGGGGGCGCCGCCGGATTTGTACCGCGATCGAGGACAACCGTTCGGGGAAATTTTTCTGGTTTTCCTTTTTTCTCCTTTATTTTAATGGGAAGGAGGGTGGCACAGCCCGTAAAAAATAAATAATGGCACTACAAGACAACAAACCCTCGGCTATGGCTATGGGTAATGCTGATGATTGAGAAAAAAAAAAAAGGACGGTAATCGTGATGATTGCTGGAATTTTTAATTTTAATTTTAATCTTTCTTCCCTTCGTCGTAGATGATGATGATGATCAAGGTGATGATGAGGCGGAACGATGAATGAACGGATGAGTGTGAAGGTGTGTGCGTAGGTCCCGGCGAAGCTGAAAAAGCAGTGAGAGGGGAGAGAAGGGGTTTCCGCTTGTCAAGCCTGAATGTGAAAGGAAAAAAGGGTATGAGGCGCTGCTGCTGTTGGCGCTTTGCTGGAGCCTGGGGCGGTTGTCAGACTTGGCCGATGTGGGGACACCGAGCCGCGGAGGGGAACCAAGTGGGACAAGATTATTGCAGGCGGCAGGTGAACAAAAATAAACCCCCACTAGAAGAAAGAAAGGGAAAAAAAAAAAAGTTTCCTCACGTTGCAAGGGGAGAGACAAGCAAATGGCAAAACTGTTTGAAAGGGCGGGCAAACGCGAGCGTGAGAACGGGATTGTTCCCCTACTAGATCCCCTAGTATCTGCTGCTCAACCCTGATGTTCGTTTGAACGAGCCTCGAGGCGGGGGGTTATTGTTGTTGTTCTAAGGGAAAGATCTGGCAATATCCTTCACGCTGTGTCCGAAGTATCAGGGGTGCCGTTCAACACAGGCGCACAGCTCGTTTCTCCCTCCTCGTGGTGAGGGTGTTTAGTGAGATGATAGGGGATGGAACTAGGTTTGGAGAGAGGGTGCAGTAAGAGGGGGTGTAGATATGGGGGAGAGCGGGCTTTTTGTAGGCACTCCTCGGCTTGGGCAAAGTCGCCGTAGATGGGAGAAGGTTGGTGGGTCCCCCCGCCCGAGTACGAGTACTTCTGGCTCGTGAACAAGCGCAGACAGTTGGAGGACGCAACACAGGCACTCACTCAACTCACACATTCTCCCCGTTCAACCCACGCCGCGCGCGCCGCCTTCTCCTTCTCCCCCCTTCCCCTCACCCTCCCACGCTCATCCACAAATACCGGTACCGGTAAGCCCATGAAAGAGTAACATAAAAAAAAAAATAGGGCTAAGCGGAATCAAGGTGGATGGGTGGGTGCAGGGTGGGTGTCCTTGTTGATCGGGGTTCTACGGCTGAGAGGGAGCGATGAGTGGGGTTGGCTAACATGTCTGGACAACCTGTCTTCGATCAAAAGGGAATTTCCTCTGATGCATGCAATTAAAGTGTGGGGGAGCCCGCCATTGCAACAAGCTCCACCCTTCTGTGCTCGAGTACCGTAGTCTGTACGAGTACTCTCAGTCGCTCATTCCATCACTCACCTCCACCTCCTCCACAATCACTCTGCTCGAGAGAGGGTCCCCTTCTTCCGACAGAGCACTCGGTAGTTAGTCAGACAAGGTCACAGACAGGATAACCAGTGCCGTATCGTATCATACTCTTCTTACCGTAGCCCCACATATGCGTTTGAAATACTACTTGTATCACTGGTATCTCTCCTGTTATTGCCATCTGGTTGCTGTGCTCCAACTTACCACATCTTTCCTAACCTATGCTGGTTATGGTGCAATGGCATACTTTCCCTTGGCTGTTTCCTTGTCGTGATGCCATTTTCTGTGACACGCCATGGGTCTGATGTGCGGTGGGGGGAAACAAGCTCCCTCCTCCAAAGCCCATTCATTGTAAGGCCGCTTCGAAATATGGGGAAGTGATAGGATGGAAGGTCGGGAAAAAAGAAAAAAGGAGGAAAAAAAAAAAAAAGGAAAAAAGAAAAAGGGGTAGATGCGCCCGCTGCTGAGATGGAACGATATGGCGCTGCGAAACAAGACCCAGCGACTCTCCATCAACACCCTCCCCATACCTTATCTCACTCTCACTGGTTGGTCCTACGTGCATCTCCACCGCTCGGACACGGTAGGGTACTGTGCGAGTACGGCACTCTGCCATGAATTGTTATTTCCACTTAGATTTTGTACTCGAGTACTTGTAACCCTTTGGTTATGTGCCGTGCTCGAGTGCGGATCATAATACGAGCTCACCCGGCCGGTTGATGGATAACCTTGGAAATGCGCTCCCTAATATTTAACCGGTAACGACGACGATAGTGTTGCCTGTTGTTTTGTTGTTGATGTTGATGTTGTTGTTGTTGCTGTTGTTGGTGTGTATCCACTTTTGATTTTTGAAGCTTTTTCATGTCCTACAAACTCACTTCATCACTTTCATCACATCATACATCACCCACAACACCCTCCCCCCGGACTCCTGTGCGCACACAAACGTCAACCGGGCGAGGGTCTATAGGAAAAAAAAAAAAAGACTTTTCTTTTTCTCCACTTTTTTTTTTCCACCCTTTTCTAAAAAATAGAGTAATACCGAAATTTTGCTCTTTTTAAACAAAAAAACTCCGTATTACCAATTTTTAGAGCCCTGTGTGGCCGTTTGGCCTCCGATAACAACAGCGGCCAAAGAGTTTGTTCTCGGCAATGTGTCCGTAAGGCTTCAATGCCCGGTCAAACCCTCAGGGAGATACAGTATGCGTTGTTCGGCTCCACGATAATCAGACCCTGACTAGCTCTTCAAAGTTTCTTGCGTGGGGGTACCAGTAAGAAAGGATGATGCTGTTTGAATTGCGGGGGGGGACGAGACGTGCCCGGCTCCGAGGTACCGAGCTGGTACAAGTAAGTTATTGTACGATATGATACGCCCAGAGGGAGAGTCGGAATGAGTTCCGTTTATTCTCGAGCCCTGCGCGCGCCAGGAACGCGATCCAGGTCCCCACACTTATGCAAGATCTTTGGGAATCTTCATTCGATTTCGCTTTATCCACCATCAAATATCCAATATCAATTTTGTAGACGCAGTAAATCCCCTCCTCGCTCCCCTTTATTTCTAACCACCGTGATATATTACCAGAGTCCTTCCTGCTGCCCTCCGCTTTGCTCGATGGTGGCCTCACATCCCCCCCGTATGTGAGAGGTCCTGGATAAAAAAAGGATACCGGTAGTGCGCCGCGGTCCCATTTAGTACGGTACATGTACCACGTTCCCTAGCGGTGGATCTTAGCGACCGGTGTCCGGACTCTCCCGTCTCTATGATCCCCACTGTTCAGCTGGGAGTGAGCCTTTCCGTTGGTAGGGCGGTGGATCATAGTCTGTTATCCAAAAAGTGTACAAGTACCGGTGCTGTACCAGTACTCGTACAATAATCTTAGCAGAGGCGGACAAGGGAGCGAAGGGCTGAGATGCAGTGGGCTGCAACGGGAAACCAGATGGGCCAGCCAACTTCGGAATCAAGCGTCGCCCGGCAGGAGTCTAGTTCAACTTGCTTCTCATAGTTCTCAAACGAGATTCCTCTGTTTGGCCGGGTCAGTGATTTTTTGATTTCCTTCCTCGACTTTATCTTGGTTTTCTTGGACTATTTTCAAGGTACCGGCTAAGTTCCCGGGTTCACCCGATGAGTGAGAAAGCGGATGTGGTTCAAAATTTTTCTTCCGGGCCTGGGCGGGGGCGCTCCGGTGGTTACTTACTCGAAAAATGGTAGTGCGGACACCATGTCCACCAATACTATGCCCGCAACCGGCCCCGTACTCCATATCCGGGTACCTACAGCCTGTACGGTATGTATCCATCATACCACAGAAAACCCAGGATGCCTGCTGCGGCTTGAACATTGGCCGATGGCCACTGTCGAGCTGTTGAAATATCATAATCCCTGCGCAGCTGCGGGGTTGCTATAATCCTCCCCTCCGCTCCGTGCTCTTATCATCTACAAAATGCCACAACCGCAACCAATTCTGCCGGACTGGCACTTGCCATCCAGCCGCCCCTCTTAAACCAAGCACACGTTAGGTTCCAACTTTATCGCTTCTTTCGTCCACAATGACTGGTTCAACAGCTCCAAATTCTCTGGCCCCCTGTGATGCAGGCAAGAAATATTTGTGCCGAGCCCATTGTCTGCCGCCAAACACCAACAATAATAACCCCGCGTTCAACCCCTTGAAACTGGCTACTACTACTATTACGGTACGGTAAAGGGCCGAACCCGGGGAATCGGTGATATAATATCAACAGATTTCTTTACCAGGTATTGATCATGCAAGCATATTTGTTCCTCTTTCTCCCGCTTCTACAGTGCAACTGGAGTGACGGACGCTCCGCATAATTATCCGAGGACCCTTAAGGGTTCTCCTTGCACACCCGTAGTATTCTCCGAACCCGGCGAAAGAACGGGTTAAACTAGCGTGATAGTTCATGAAGTTGGGTTTTTAAGGTTCATGGCAATCGCACCCTTCAGCAAGGGCCTAGGAGGGTGCTGATCGGTACGGGGATTTTCAAGGAAAACAGTCAGCAAATCACCTCATATCTCAGGAATGGCATGTTCCTTGTATGGCACCATGGAGACAAGCATTTTCGTTGTTATGTTACTTTTATGAGGAATATTTTATTTTATCTCATTTCTCGCAGTGGTACTCGAGTATTGCCATCAGCATCAGCGGAACCCCCCAGACCTTTTGCTTACCCTCCGGATACCGGTATCAACAACTAACGCTATACCCGTGCTAGAAATTAGAGCCGGGAGAAAGCGACCCACGACTGCGGGGATGCTGCAACCGGGGGTTCACATGCTGGAAAGTTGATACAGTGCCCTTAGGTATCAGGGAGAGCGCGCGCGGGGGGGGGGAGGGGGTAGCAATCAAGCCCAGGAGAGTAGGAAAAGGAAAAAATAGGAATAAAAATGAAAAAGAGCTATCTCAGAAACGGCAATATGTCTCAAACCTTTTCACCGCCATGGCCCAGCGGCTCCGAGTCCAATTCCTGCCTGTTACTATTATTTGAGGACTCAACCGGAACTTCTTCTCCATCGTCTTCCTCGACTTCCTCCGGTAGAAGTAGGTTCAAGAAGATTGCAACACTGATGGTTGTATCAAGAAAAAGTGAATAACGAATCATCATCAGTCACTTGTTCGGCATGGCCGTAGAGGCTACGACATCTGATAGGAGTTCACTGTCACTCACAAAGCGGTTATGGCGAACCCGGTCTCCATGATAAGGTTAATGGCATCCAAGAATCCCTGCAATCCACCACCTCCCTTGTATGTGAAAAAGTGGCTGTCAAGGCCTTCAATCAGTGGCTGATTACTGCTAAGAGCTAATTTCATTCCAGAAGGGCAAGAAGGAAGACTTACTCAAACCATGTCGGAACGAGGGTCGCTCCGTATCTATATCGTTATCATGTTATTATTATCCAGTAAGCCTGCTGTTTCGCTTTTCTTTTAACAAGAGTGACGCAGGTTGATTTACCCCAATGCAAGAGCTGCCGTCAGAATGAATCGATCTGGGAAAATTGAGTGTTAAATTTGTAAGACTGAGCAATTGAGACTTCCATGGTAGAGCAAGACCAGTTGGCGGGCCGGGCAAGAAGCGTGAGGAAGATAGAAATAAGGAAGAAAGGGGGGGGGGGGGGGGGAAGAGAAGGAAAAGAAAAAAAGCTTACTACGACGTGTGAACGGCATTGTTGCCGTAATCCTCATGCCCGATACGGCCACTGAACAGAACTGTGCGCAAATCAGTGAGAGGCCCTTGTTTTTTGTTCTTTTCGTTCCCCTTGGCACAAAAGTGGCTTACGAGGAATGTAGTCATCCCGCCCAAGACCGCAGACGGAATTGCCACGAGGGATGCAGCAAATTTTGAGAAAATTCCCATAAGTATCAGAAAGAAGCTATAACAAGCATGAGTTATTATGGTTCACAGCGCCGCGTGGCGGAATAAAAGGGGGTAATGGAACAGCAAATTTTCAACGGGATTACGGACCAGCATCCATATCCAGCCTTGCGGTTTGCGCACCGAGTGAGAGCGATGACGCCCTAATGCTATGTTAGCCAGAAAGTCGCGGACATAATAATAATAATAATAATAAAGGTCCGGAGAGATGGTAATTCATACATTATTCTGAGCGTACGTGCTCACGGGGGTGACGGTGGCTAAACTTGCTAGAAGTCCGTTGATACCATCGGCCAAGAGACCCCCCTGAATACGTGAGTCGAACATTTTACCATCGACATCGAGCCTGGAGACTGCTCAAGCATAAGTATCAATCACCCTCTACCGTGCAGGGATGAGGTGTGAATACCGTCGCACGTTGCGCTGATGTCGCCAATCGCCTCACACGCTAGAATTATATAAACGGCTAATGTCCTACGAGCAAATTAGCAAGATAGAGGTTGGTGCTGACTCAAAACATACGGTAGTACGAGCGGCCCGTATATCGAGAGTTTGAATGTCTGAACCCAGATAAACGAAGCAGCAGGAGCCTATCACCGGTCAATATCACAAACAGCTATCCGCGCGACACCCGATTCAACTTTACCAGATCTATATTCTTATTAGAAAAGTAGCCAGTGGCCGCAGCGATAATGCATCCAAATAGCAGTCCAATGACGACGCTAGTAGACTGCATGATAGGACCTAATATCTGCTTAGCATAAATAAAGGTATTACCAGATCAAGGTTAGACTATTTACTTCCAAATCTCTCGCAAATAATGATAGCAATGAACACGGAGAATCCAAGGCCTGATAAGAGGGTCAGGTCAACCACAACCCACGGCACAAGATTGCCCTTCAGAAAAACTTACCAATAAACTCTGCGGAGCCCCAGGGCAGAGCATGCGGAGCTGCAGTATTAGGACATAGAGAGAATAATCCCGTTTTAGGCATCGCGGCGCATGGCCCATTCCCTCCGGCCCAATTCTTAAAACCAGACGCAATCAATTTGACGCCGACAAGCATCACAGTCGGGCCAGTGACCAACGGAGGGAAGATCTTCTGCAGGAGTCTGGGTGGCATGAAGGAAAGGGCGATTTCTAAAAGTGCACAAACACATCCGGTCCCAAGGATCGCGCCTGAACAAACCATAGGTAAGTTTCCCGTGTTCGATCGCGGCCCGTCATAACTCACCATAACCGTCGGGACAAGGTAGCTTCACACCACCTTCACCCATCGGACCTGCGATTTCTAGGGTTAGGGAGGAAATTCTGGATGGTTTAGTTCTAGAAAGAGTTACATACACTACAGGTGATTCACGTGGATCGCGGTTAGCGACGGATCCGTGACATTTTGATGTTTCACCATCTCACCTTTCCATTCGCATACATCTGCTCCAAAGCGCCCTGACCAATGGGTATAATGGTGAACGAGGTTCCGACGCTGCTATGTTTAGCGTCATCCCATTCTGGCGTTCGTCGGTCGGCAGTGCAATACTCACACAGATATAAGGCCAGTCCCGATATGATAACTACCGGCGCATATCACATCAATTAGCCAAAAAAACGCACCATCCATGCCGCTGCCCCCCAGGACTATTTACGACCAGTACATACGGGGTTCCCCAGATGTGGAATCTGGTGATCTGAATAGCAGACAATATACCGCAAACAATCAGTGAGGTCGAAACGAGGTACTGCTGGGTCCCCGGCGGTAGGTTCGCACCTCCTGCACCTCCTAGGATTATCGGTGGGGAAACCACTCCCGCCAGCATTGCCAGAGCACTATAATGACATGAGGGATATCAGCAAAAAGCTCAAGGCGGATATGCACGAGTGGATATCACGCAATTGCGAAGGGCACGAGTATGTAGAGAGTGGGAAAGGTGGGAACGCAACTGTTGAAACCCCAAGAGTAGCGCAAGCAATACCGGCATCCGATCGTCTAGTCCGAAGAAAGGCGCCGCTCGGCACGGCTTCCTCATGAATGGGAGCCGAGGCTACATTGTTGGATTCCCCCTGGTAAGCATTGCGCATGTTGTCCTGCCGAGCAGAAGAATGCGGGGGTAGAATGGATGGATGGATGGATGGATGGATGGAGATGGGCACGGAGGCTCATAGTTCTCATACCCGAAACAAAAAGGCATAATCGTAGTTGCCGACAAGCCCCTCCCTATCACGAGCGAGCAAACAAGCAGGTTGTTAGCGGCTGGATATGATGGGACATGAACATGACATGACCCGCCACCGCGTCCACCATTTCGAACCTTGGCGTGAAGGGGAGAAGGAGGTTCGCCTACCTTGTCAAGAACGCCTTCTTAACTCTGCGAGCATGGTCCCCGAAAGCCCTCTTGGGCGCCGTGGTGGGAACAATCTGATCCGGCTCTGCCATTTTGATACTGTGTCGTAGTGTAAAGTCTCAGAGCAAATTCAACCGCAACACTAACAGCAGGAGTATGGATCAATTAACCTCGTATCGAAGCAAACCCGAGCAACCCGGTGATACTTGTTAATCCGAGGGAGAAAAGGATAGAAGATTGAAACGAAGAAAAAAGAGAAGAAGAAGCGGAAGAGACGTAGGGCGGATTCGTTATTATAGTGCAAGTGCTCGCAAACTGACGAAAAGCTCTTGCTGAAGATCAAGCTTTATATGCCGGGTAGACCAGCAGATAGGCAGGGCATATATGTAGGTCTGTGGCAGGTTGGTACCATCGAAGTGGATGCGAGGGGATTCGCATGTAGCCCAACCACGGCTGCGATAACAACGAACAAGAGCAGTAAGCTGTCATATAATTTCACTAGCCTTTTAAGCGAGGCGGACTTTGAACTTCATTTGATCAGCCACTTCTCTACTAGGGGTTCGTGCTCTGTAGCACCAGTGCGAGCACAATAAAGTGCTTTACCCCATCCTATCTCACAAAAATCCCCAATACCCCCCCGGCTTCCCGCGCCGCCATCTCGCTGCTCCAAACCGTACTTGTACTGTATGGTATGACTTCTTACTTTTCTTTTTGATGCTTTTTTCTTTTCTTCTTCCTCTCCCACAATTCGCTGGCAGACTCCTTAAATCTTGCCTCCAATCCACCCCGTCCGCTCACAAAAATTTTCCAAACCCATAGCCCGTAGCATTTCCTTTTTCCTCGAGCAGCCGAGGCCAGATCGGCCCACGATTCCCAGGACAAACCGCGATCCGCCGCTTCGTCCCCGCCGTCGCGGTGCAGTACTAGTACTGTCCCTGTACCAGTACGGTGCAGCACAGCACAGGAGACGTGAGGTTGGGCGCATCACATACTGAAATCAGGCATCACGGACGGGAGGGGGGGGGGGTTGCGGAGAACGCCTTCTTATTATCTTCCCCCCATTTAATTACAGTACCGTATTTGCCTACATGTATTTCTCCAATGGTGGGGACTGTCTGGATATGGCGTGCCGGTACGATACGGTAGGGTACGGTAGTTGGTCGATTGGCCGGCTGGAAATGTGGTTTTTGTTTATCCTTTTTCATGGATGAATTTTGCTGCACTCGAGTTCCTGCATCGTGCCGTTACTACAGGTACAAGTATGAGCGTTTGACCGGGGGTGCTCAGTGCCCGAGTGGAGAATCCGGGAGGGAGGATAGGGCGTGGGTAAGTCACTGTAGCGTGTACGGGTACCGTAGTCTAGGTATGATACCGGGGGTCTGCGAGTACTCGAGTACTCGAGGTTGGTAGCGAAGGACGGGGAGAGCCAATCGGCGCGGGAATGGGCATCATACAATACCGGTGAGTACAATACGCTAGGAGCGCCACGGGTGCCAAGATGAGGCGTGGTGCTCGTGTACTCGAGTAGACGAGGCTGCTCTGCTGCATGATTAGCAAGGTACTTGTATGGGAAAGTGTTGATTGCCGCAGCTGGAGTGGGGGCACCAGTACGGCATCATATTCTACCAAATAGCATGGGACCGTGGCGGGTGGGCGGGAGGTGGTGATTGGAGATGGAGGATCGGAGGGTGGAGCACAGTACGGTACCCCACTGGTACTACTAGCACTCTACTCGTGCTCTGCTCCATGCGAGGTCGGAGGCAGCGATGGAGATTCCTGTGCCGTTCCTAGAGTCACTCAGCTCAGGGTTGAAAAGCGTTTATGCAGGTTTTTCAAGTTAGCAGGACACTGGCCGATGCAGCGCTTCTTGACATACAAAACTGACAGATCAGCTCGGGACTTGGCACTCGAAAAAGGCAGTGCCAGCAACCCCAGGACCCGCTGCATTTTTTTCAACTTTTTCAGAGAAGGAAAATGAAATAAAAGGGAGTAGGGGGAGGGGAAGAAAAAGAAAAAAAAGTGAGGAGACGCAAATATCTAGACACACGGCACTTGCAAGCCAAGGCCCCTGAGATGGCCCTCCGTTACAATTTACTCGAGTGCTGAATTCAGAGAGCTGTACCGGTATTCCCGGTACGGTACGGTACATCCCAATCGGATTCCTAGCTTCCAGCCAGCTTGTTCTTCTGATTGGGGCACCAGGGATCGACTGGCGGACCAGACTAATTACCCTTTGGACTACAGTACCGTACTCGTACTGTACCATACCAGTATTGTAATGCCATCAGCCTGGGACATGATCTTGGTCCGGGCAATCCTTAAGGTATCCGTCGCGGCCTTAGCAATAAGAATAATAGAACCATCTTGAATTGTGGAGGCAAACAGAGCTTGAAGATGGCACTTCTAGGCCCCCGGGAGCAGGTGATATGATATGTTGTAGGATTTGACCACGATGTTATACATGTACTCGAGTACTCGTACAGGTATGATACTACTCCCGTCATAGAGAATTCTGTCAGGAGTTTGGTGATTCCTGTGTCAAACCCTGATAACTTTTTCTTTCTTTTTTTCTTAAAACAAAGTCATGAATTCCTCCCAAATCACCCCCCTCTATTATGTCTCAATTTCCACCCCTAGTTCTGCAGTTGTCATTCCGGTCCTTCCCCTGAGCCTTCCGAACACTTTGAGGGGTCGATCTCCGACACCCGGCACCATCCAGCCCCTCTCATGATACTTGTACGAGTACCACTACCGGTAATTGAAATCATCTACAGTAGGGTCACTCGCACTTCGGGGCTTCCGCAACTTTTGGCCCTCCGTAGTACCGTATAATTACAGCTTCTGCGAGTACAAACGGTCTCCAATAACACTCACTAGATATCACTCGAACTTCCTAACCCGGTTTTGACCTATCACATCATATTATCTACATTGATTGACGCCCGCTCCGCCCCCTCGTACAGTACAGTCTATCGCGACCTACTAGTAGTCCACACATTGCCCTTCAGCCTTCTTGATCTCGGGTATCGCTCGGGATTCCTGGAGGCGCTACTCTCCGTGTGGGTGTCCTACTCATCTTGGAAATGCACCAGACTTATGCTCACCATCGAGTATGATACTCTGCCCAAAACCAGCCCCCAACATCGTACCATGCCCACAAATGATGCCACAAGTACGAGCGCAATCGGAGGAGCAGCGCAAAGTATTAACGTGTGAATGGATGGGCGTTTGGCAACACGCGAGTTATTCGGATCATCAAATTTCCTTCGTTGCCTGTATTTCTTATGGGTACTTGTACTAGTACAGGATTGAAAACCAGCCCCGGGGGGGGCAATCACCCTGGGGTGGTGACGGGCGCGGGTTGAGTGGGAAAAAGAAAACTTTAAGGACACAATCTCTCTACACAACTAACTAGGAGGTTATGATAATATGAAGATCCAAACACACAACAGACAAAAGGGATGGGCACTACGACATTACAAAGACAAATCTAATGCAAAACACCTTTTAGTGCAAGATTTTCCCATCGCCCTGCAAACCTTCGTGACAGCAATCAGGAGATATCATATCAGTGAAGGTGTCTTTCTCTCAGGGGGCTTCTCAGATACCGTACTATAGGATAGGAGAAGAAGTGTTGGTGGATATTTTTCAAAAATATAAAGATAAGAAACTAATAGACGTCAGCGTGACTGGTAAGACATTTTTCTGCGAGGCGTTATGCCTCACCCCATACTGGTACAATACAATACTATCTAAAAGTATAATACGGGTATCGAGATTAACCAGTTTCCCCGATATAGCACCCAAGGTACTGGCTTTTGACTTGGTGGTATACTCGTAGAGGAAGGAAGGAAGGCTGGGACCTAGATTTCGTGTTTCCGGTTCGACTACCCGCACGATCACCTACGCTCGTCATGCTTCCAAGTACTCGTATAGTCGACCACTCCGGATGGTTAAGCGCGGTGCGGTGCCGGGGTTTTGAGGATCCCCTTTGCCCGGCTTCCAGGGTGAAAGGGAGTTATTCCGGGCCGTTGCGAGAGGGCTGGATGGTCGAGAGCAGTACCGCGCCCCCGCGGGTAAACTTGCCTGTTGAGCAAGTTACTTGCACCGAGCCGGGTGCCTTCAAGAGAGTAGAATGGATACCTTTACATGTGAGAGGGAGGCCGGCGGCTCGGGTCAGGGTGGGATAATCCGAGTGTTTACCGGTAGCTAATTGGATTAGAATGGTGGCCGGCAGCCCGAGGTTTTCTCGGGCGTTCGGGCGTGGTATATTGCTTGTACTCGGGTACCATACCGGTACAGTACTGGGTTGCCAATTCCTTGCAGGGCACATACGGTATCGTAACATCATGCTATGGTTGGGATCGGTACCTGCTGACGAAATTTTCGCTATGATAGCGTGATAGTAGTTGCGGGGTCATCGTGCAAGAGGGTGATACCCTACCGGCATGGTGTTTACCCGCCGGTAGCGAGATCCCGCCCCCACTCCCTGGTGCACCCTACCGGTATGTTGCCTGCAGTGGCTCTTCAAGTAAAAACCTCTTTATCGCGCGCAAAGTGAAAGCTTACGGTACCCGTAGTTAACACCGGGCGGAGATCATGTATCAAAGCAAATAGAAAATATAACAACGAGAACAGCTAGCCGGCCGTTACAGATCTCAAAGCTTCCCATGTCAGGCCAACAGTTTGACTTTTGCCCTCCTGACTCCTCGCATCAAGGGACTGTGTGAGGGCAGTCCCAGTCCTCACTTCACCTACGGTAGTTTTCAAGCTAGGCGAAATCTCCCCGAATGAGGCTGGATGGAGTGTACACCGATGCTTTTCCCGGCATGGGTGCCTACAAGCAGAGAGCATGCGGACGATGAGCAGAATGTGGCCAGCAAGTTGGGGTTAGGTTGGTCGGGTAGAATGTAGAAGCCACGGTTATTGATAAGTGCTGTATGATACCGGAGTTGTCTAATCCCTTGCACGGTCTGAAGCCGGCGAATTGGGAACCAGGCATGATAAGCCTGCCCTGGAGCGGTTTGTGCCTTTTGGTTTGCTGGGAACATTTCAACTCACGAAAGGTGCTGAGTCATTTAAGCAGGGACAAGGGGGGGGGAATCCGATGCTCCGGCCAAGTTTAGCGAAGCATTGCCAAATCCAGCCTCCGTCAGTCTGCAACTTGACCGTTTCAGGCCGATCTACGGATACAACGGGTTGCAATGAACTCGTTCGGTGCGGTATGATACTCGAGTATCATACATTGAGTACTGTGTGCGAGCGCAACTTGCCACCTTAACGGTACTTAGGGTCCGGCACCGTACGACTGCTAGGAGTATGTCATCGCAACATCCCACCGACGCTGGAGCAGCGGGGGCGGGGACACGACTTAGACTGTCGTATACCCCAGGGCTGAGGGGCGCGGGTTTTGCTGCTGTGCTAGGGTACAAGTACGGGTACCAGGATCCAGGAGGAGTACGGTAGGATAGGGTATCATCCATACGGTACAGTAGAAAAGTTCCCGAAGGTCCAAGTCCGAGTACCGGTACTGTACCTGTATCATACCGGAGCTTAAGAATGGCAGGTATTCTGGAAGCTTTCCTAAATCGGATATTGATGGACGCGCTAGAACAAATATGCCGGGATGATCGACGTGAGGCGCGATCGGCTCTAGGCCGGTGTCCGTCTTGGGACCCAGGTACTGTACGGTACAAGTACAAGTACGGCACAAGTACCGGTACCGCACCGCACGGTACGGGTACAGTGCTCGTACGAGTACTGGTAGTCTCCTTTATTCTCTCCCCCCCCTCTCCCATCTGCAATCTCGGTGGGGGAAAAGATCAGGCAGTTCATGGATAGAGAAATGTTAGGATACCAGTTGAATTTAAGGATTAGAATGCAGGGCAGACCACAAATCGGCTCTTAGGGTCACCAGCATGATACAAGTACTTGTATCATTTGGCCGGTACAGTACAAGTACCGGTGCCGCTGTGAGTGCAGTTTTCATTACAGGGGCATGTTGGCGGTGCTCCATCCTACAGGTCAGTCAGTAGGGCACCGTGCTCTACTCGTGCTCGTACGGGTATAAGGTCCACCAAATGTTTTCCGGCTGGCGGTGGGTGAGTGGGTCGGTCACCCCTTGCCACAAGCACCGGTGTGGCGGCCCCAACAATCAAGAAGCGACTATCATAGAGATGCGCTATCGGTGCCTGCAGTTCCTTTTCGCAAGGGCTATTGTCTCCCCGAGGCAGGGAAGAGATGGCTGGGATGTTGTTTTGTTGAGCATCCAAAAAAGGTTATGTTGGGACGGGCGCTAGCCTAAGCGAGTCTTAGCTTACCCTAATTGGAATTTGTCGGACCAAGATCCGCTGTTTCTGGGGCAAACCACACCCTCTATCACTCACACAAGAGAACGTTGGGGATGGGAGGAAGCTTCTCACAGTCCCATACTGGTATTCTTCCTGAGAGGGAGGGTGGAGAGCCAAAATTTTGTCCTTGTGTTGCCAACCTCCGTCGGAAAAAGGAATCATAAGGAATGTTGTGAGAGCAAAAGAAAAGAAAAAAAAAACATCATCCGTTGAGTATCTCTATCCTTCCATCATTTAAGATGCCCTTTGCTTCTCGTCCTTCTCGTCCTCGACTAGAACGGATCTATTCTCTCCTCGGCTGAACGTCGACCACTCATCACCCGGCTGTCGTTACCTCTCACCTCTCACCTCTCCCTTGCAATCGTTACAATACTCTTAAAAACTCCCTCCTCACTCATTCTCTCCCGCTGCGATAGCTAAACCATCATCATCATGGTTCCTGCTGCTGGTGCTTCTGCCGGGCCTGCCGGGCCTGCAGCGAAGCTCCGAAAGACGAGGTTGGTTGGCCCTCACATCAGTGAAACTGTAAGTTTGCTCCAAAGCTTGGTTGCCGAAAATGTGAGATGCTAATGGTCTAATACAGCCAATCACCCTAGGAAACCTATGGCAACATATCAACAAACTCAACGCCACCCTCATCGTCCTGGTTCCTATACTCGGTGTTTGGGCAGCTTTCTACACTCCCCTTCGAACACCAACCCTTTGCTGGGCCGTCATCTATTATTTCTGGACCGGTTTCGGTATCACGGCCGGATACCATCGTCTTTGGGCTCACACCTCATACTCTGCGCGCCTTCCTTTGAAGATCTTCCTTGCAGCTGTCGGCGGCGGTGCAGTTGAGGGTTCTATTCGCTGGTGGTCCCGTGACCACAGAGCTCATCACCGTTATACCGACACCGACAAGGATCCCTACAGTGTCCGTAAAGGGTTGTTGTACTCCCATTTGGGATGGATGATTCTTAAGCAGAACCCTAAGCGCATTGGACGTACCGATATTTCTGACTTGAATGAGGATCCCGTTGTTGTCTGGCAGCACAAGAACTACCTTGCTGTAGTCATCTTCATGGGTCTCGTCTTCCCCTCTCTCGTTGCTGGATTGGGCTGGGGTGATTGGGTTGGCGGATTCGTCTACGCCGGTATCCTCAGGATTTTCTTCGTGCAACAGGCAACCTTCTGTGTCAACTCTCTTGCTCATTGGCTCGGAGACCAACCATTCGATGACCGCAACTCTCCTCGTGACCACGTTATCACTGCCCTTGTCACTCTTGGCGAAGGATACCATAATTTCCATCATGAGTTCCCAAGTGACTACCGTAATGCCATCGAATGGCATCAATGTAAGTTTTTTTCTTGGCTTTTAGCCAACACGTTTTTAAACAACCCATTAATAATGTCTTATAGATGATCCTACCAAGTGGACTATCTGGGTCTGGAAACAGCTCGGTCTCGCTTATGATCTCAAGCAGTTCCGTCAAAACGAGATCGAAAAGGGCCGTCTTCAACAGCAACAGAAGAAGCTCGACCGCAAGCGTGCCACCTTGGACTGGGGTGTCCCTCTTGAGCAGCTTCCTGTCATGGAATTTGAGGACTACCAGGAGCAGGCCCGTAATGGACGCGCCCTTGTCCTTGTTGCCGGTGTTGTTCACGATGTTTCCTCATTCATCAATGACCACCCTGGTGGAAAGGCCATGATCAACTCCGGGGTCGGAAAGGACGCTACTGCCATATTCAACGGCGGTGTCTACAACCACTCCAACGCTGCACACAACCTCCTCTCTAACTTTCGTGTAGCCGTCATACGCGGTGGCTGTGAGGTCGAGATCTGGAAGCAGGCCTCTAAGGAGAACAAGGATGTTGATGCCGCTCTCGACAGCAATAACCAACGCATTGTCCGAGCCGGCAACCAGGTCACTCGGATTGCAGAACCGATTGCTGCAGCTCCCGCGTCATAGGCGAATGTAGATATATTTTTACTACTCTGTTCTTTATGTTTCCTCTTTCTTTTGCATCCTGGTACGGAATAAATGGGGTGAGTGGGGTTAATTTGGACTTTTGCAACGAAGGAGAAAGATCCAACGAAGTAGCGACTCATTGACAAATTTCCAAATCATGGGTCAGCACTGTATGATTTTCCTATTATTTTTTCTATAAAAAAAATGGGTCCCGGCGTCTTGAGAATTTTTATTTTCCTGTTTCTGGATACTCTTATCTGTTTTTATTTTCTTCCACTTTCAAGAACGATTGTGTGTCTCTCTAGCTGGATTGGGAGCGGTGGTGATGGGAGAGATGGGAAGCGGCATGATTGGGGATCGGTTTTTTTGAGAGGGATCGCTTAGGATGTATATAGCCCTCCAAAAGTGCATTCTTCGGTTTGCGAGATCATAGATATCTCTGCTCTCACAAAAGCTTTTACGGCAGCTAATGTACCGTGTGTCTTCTCGGCTCTGGCGTCCATGATGGGTTGAAGGTGGTGAAAGGGTCAAGCGAGAGAATGCTCTAGCCTTCAGCTTGCTGGGAAGTTTTGCTTTTGGGGTTCGTGGGGAAGGTTCGCAACTGTCCAGCTGTTGGGCTTGGGTGCGCGTGGTGAAGAGGCAAATCAGTGGAATGCCGACTTTGCAACTTCACTTGGATGAACTTCGGTAATTAATGTGGGTAAGGCGAACGATGCGATGGGTGATAAAAAGCGCCGGTACTCGTAGTGATTATCTCTACTTGTACGATTACGGTAGTCTACCGTATTTGGAAACTCTAGCACTCATTCAGGGTGCTAACCGTGCCAAGGTTGTGGCGGAGCCACAACCCACGGTCGCTCGCAACTCGCAACCTTGGGCACTCTCTTCCAGAGAGTGCCCGACAGCTCAATGTCAGATTCGGCTCAACGTCAGATTCGATTTGTATGTGAATTTAAGAATTTCGGACCACTACCAAACACCCCCCGATGCCTCAAACACCCATTCAACTTCCTCACACATTGTTTTAAGCCCCTGTAGATATGTCCCTGATTTCTTTTCCTCTCTTTTACAACTTTTATTTTCGTGTGGTGGGACCTTGGTTTGGATTAGGCGTGAAAGTGATGTTGAGCCGAATCTGATGTTGAGCTGTCGGGCACGTCGTAGACATGCCCAAGATTGCGAGCAATCGAGGGTTGTGGCTCCGCCACAACTTTGGCACGGTTACGTACGAAATGCTTGAGGTTCGAGAAACGGACAGCGGTCGCATGCCACCAAAATCCTGAGGCTCTGGCCGGTCTTCCGCCGCATGCAGTGCCGGTCGGTTCCAGAGACGTTCCGACACTAAGAATGGATTATGACATCCGCCTAAATTCCTGGCATAAGGGATGGTGTGTTGTACGAGTAATGCCTCGAGTATTGTGTAGTCTATTGGTGAATTCCATCCAGTACAAGTACCGGTTCGTACTGTGGCCCTTCATTACACATGTGCAGCCGAGAACCACCGTAGACTATCCATCTACTACGAGTATTAAAGTACCTCCGCAAAAGTGTTGGTGAAATGGACTTTTTACACCAAAAACATTAATTTTTCACCACTGGTAGTTTAGGAACCACAAAAGATTTTACAACCTGACTTCTGGTATGTAGTTACAATAATCCCACCCTACTCCTACCCAACTCTTAATAACTTTGGGGAAGAATTGGTGAAGTTATGCAGTCCTAAAGTTTGGGCTTCACTGAAAGGCTTCATTTTACATACAAAAATGGCATAGCAACAGGTATTGTCAACTTTGCAGACAAGTAGCTTAGCCCCATAGAACAAATTGACAAAATAAATGGTGTCAGGTGAAAGCTGTAGTGAAGATGAAAATAATTATATAGGTTGTGAGGATTATTTGAAGCAATTCCAGGTGTGGGGGGTTGATCAAACCTGCCAATTTTTGGTGTAAAAAGGTCATTTCACCAACACTTTTGCGGAGGTACTTCATTACATATCGACCCAACCATAAGCTTCATCGTTGTGAACAGTACTCGGCATGGGTACTACAGTACCTGGTATACAGTACGGGTACTCTTATATCCCCCACTACAGGTACCGTACTCGAGCACCAATAGCTTGACGAGAATAAAAGCTAACTGCACTGCCAAGTTGCCCAACCTGTAGGGGTATTCAAAGTTAAAAATGTGAACAAAGCTTAGCTTACTCTAATGTTTCATGTAAGCTTGGCATGTATGGAAAGAGTTAGGTTACCTGTATTTTACTTTACTTTACATTACTCATTTCTTCAGTAGCAACCAAGGTTGAGAGGTCGGTATCCCAATAATATAAGAGGTGTAAATCATGTACGCTAAGTAATAAAATCAATCAAAACACCAACAACATATCATAATGATGTCAGGCATATCAGAAAAGGCACAACTTACCTTCCAATTAGAAAATAGATGACTTTCTAATACCATTATGATAATTCTACTCGATGACAGTACTTTAGATCTGATATTCAGTCAGTTGTTAGGGGAGACAAAGACGGGATTGATTGAGGTGATTATGAGTGATAGTATGTCTATTCTCAGCTTTAATTATTAAGTGAAAACAATGATGTATATCTAATATAATAATATAAATTATATTAGGCCTTGATTTGGAAGCCTTTAAGCCTGTGGAAAAGAGTTCTATTCAGAGCATTCAGAGATTAGTATAGGATCAGGAGGGTATGGATGAGGAGATGAAAGGAATTGAGTTGTTAGCCTTGATTATTCCCACAATACGGTATTTGGTACTATGCGAACCAATTCCTCATAGCAAGTACCTCTTCAACTATCATGTAAGTTAGCAAATCTTCAGATATTATAATATAGACATTAATATTTCCAAGATTTATTCCATGTCTGATGATAGATGTATGTCATTTTTTTGGATGGCATGAACATCTTTCTATACACTCATCTCGATTGTTAGCCATGATCCCATTTTTCTAAACAATTCCCGTAATCCTCAAGTAATACCACTTATACAACTTGCAACAACTCTTTATATCCTAGAATCTTATGGGAGTTCAACAGTAAGAGGTGCTGCACAGCTGGGAATTGGAGAGGGAACTATACATCTTTACTCCCACTATTGTATTATTATCCTACTTTGTCTTATTCCACAGTATATTCAATGGCCAACCAGAGGTAGTTGTGAGTTCTATACCATGCGGAACGAGATTGAGCAAGAGAGTGGATTTCTGGGCTGTGTAGGATTTTTAGATGGTACCGATATAGGACTACAATATGGACCTTTCTTTTACGGCAAAACATACAGAAATTGGAAAAAGCAATATGCCTTAAACGTTCAAGTGATTTGCAATGCCAAACAAGAGTTCAGATATGTTTCGAGTGGCTATCCAGCATCGGTCGGAGATGCAACCATATTTTGTGGTACACGATTTTTTCTACAACCTAACATATTTTTTTCTCAGCCAGAAGAATATGTTTTTGCCAATAAAGCCTATTGGATAACACATAGATGCATGACACCGTACAAGGAACCGTTAGCAAGCCAAACGCAGGGAGTATTTAAGGATTTCAATTTACGCCTATCAGAGGCAAGGGTTCAGATTGAGCATGCTTTTGAAGGTTTGAAAAATCGAGAGCGGTCTTTGGAGGGGATTTCTATTTATATCCATCAAAAGTCTGATCATGGGTGAGCAGTTTGTTGGACCTTGTCTTGTATTGTACTGTACAATTTCCTATGTAATTATGAGGATGACCACAGGTGGAGAACAGAGGAAAATATAAGAGAACTACAATTACAGGAGGAAATACAAGAGGAGGATAATATTGATGAGCTATTAGGATTATGAGGTGAAAGGCAAGCAGGTATGGAGTGGAGAAATCAAATGCGAGCTTACTTTTTGGAGATATAAAAATATATAAAATTATCAGAAATTGGATTAAATTAATAAGATACAAATAAAAATAGCCTAGGAAGTATAAAGTAAGAAGCAAGAAGTAGGAAGTAGGAAGTATGAAGAAAGAAAGAAGAAAAAAAGAAAAAAAACATGAAACAAAAGAGAAAGGATAATGTAAAAGGGTAAATAAGTAAGAAGGAGGGTGGAGGAAGACAGAGGAGGATAGAGGACGGTAAAGGAGAACAGAGGATGGCAGAGGATGGCAGAGGAGGATAAAGGAGGGTAAAGGAGGGTAAAGGAGGATGGAGGAGGGTAAAGGAGGACAAAGGAGGTAGAAGGAGGACAGAGGAGAGTGGAGGAGGGTGGTGTCATGGCCACCTGGCTATGGAGACGGAATATGCATAGGGTTTTGGTTGCATATATTAGTTGTAGTTTTCTTGGTTATATAGTTGGATTTCCTTTGTATAAGTGATTGGGATGCGTTGCCGCGCAATGGGAGATGGCGGAACTGGACGGAAGGATCGTGGCTGCATGTGAAGCCAAGGATTTTCTTTGGTATTAGTGATCATGGAGGATTTCCTTAATATATAAAGGAGTATACCCATTTATATTTCACTTTCTTTACGCAATTTGGTAATTTCCTTCGGACACCCTTTCTTATGTTTCAAGGATCTACCTAAACTCCACGTCGTCCCTGATTTTATCTCACAATAGCTTCAGGTCTTTGTTTGTAAAGGAATCTTTACCTTCGCTTACACTTATTAACCTCGAAAGGCTTTGTCCTTTCGTTCTTGTCTTTAGGTTCTTCGTCTCCGTCCTTCATCATCTTCCATCGGTCGGTCGATGTCTAAGCGAGATTCTTTCCTTTTGGTGGACAAGGTCGCAGCAGCCTTGTCTTCCCTCTTGGCGTCGGTGGATGAGGCTTCCCCTCCTCGGAAGAAAGTTTCTCGCCTTCGCCACTACGTCTCGGTGCTGTCCCGTTGACTCCACTTGTCAGAACGGGAGCGTTCAGCCTTGGTTGCGGCTAGGCGTTCGCCCTCCCCTCCTTTTGGTGGGCCTGGGGACATGACGTCGCCTCCTAGTAGGGGGGTGGCTGAAGAAGAGGAGGTGGCTGAAGAAGAGGAGGTGGCTGAAGAAGAGGAGGTGGCTGAGGTGGGGTTGCCCCAGGTGGCGTCCTTCCCTTCAGGGAAGCAGGTGCCTGAGCTATTCGTGGCTGAGCCCATGGTGGTGGCTGACCCTGCTGGTATAGTGTCTGAGGTGCCCGATATGCCTTGGTTTGCGGATTTGTTCATCGGTTCTTCCTCCCCCCTGGCTGGACCGGAACTGCCTTTTTCTCCAGTTGATGATAGATAAGTAACTGATGGATCAGTCACGTCGGGTGGCTCAGTGGTTACGGTATTGGTGGATGTTGCTGAGGGTCCGGACCTCCCCCCTGGGCACTTTCCTTGTGGGCATTGGCCTAAGGGAGGGAACCCCTATGTGGTTGGGCAGTACAAGACTCGGTTCTGGTTGGCGGCGCCTGTAGGGTGTCGAGCTGTCAGCTCGCCTCCTAGTGTAGGAGGTAGCATATCTGACTTTCTCGGGTTGAGGCTGC